AACTGTCAAGCCCTTTCTTACACTTGTCGGACCTCATTTTTCACGTGCTTTTGTGTTTTACACGCACTACGCGAAAGACCACCTGCCCAAGTCAATCGGCAAAGAAAAAAGCAGCCAAGTGGACCAGCATGTCTGCAAAACAAGTGACATAACAGCAGCAAAGCCTTCAACATAGCCCTGATCTAGGCCCCATGGCCCCAATCACTTGCAACATACCTCCACGAGAAGGCTCAAAGAGAGCCCCAACATTGGGCGAAACGCGCCAAGATGGAGAAGGATATGCCCCAGGAATGCCTGAAGATCGCCGAAGATTTGCACAAACATGCCCTAAATTTGACCACCAACTGGGGCAAGTTTTGATAAGCAATAAAGCTCTCACAAACACATTTCTTGCACTTGTCCAAACCTTTGCGATGCTGGTTATGTTCTCTGGGGAAGACTGCAGTATTGACATCATGGGTGTGCTGGTCAGGAGCAAGCTTTCATACGCAAACAAAGGATAAAAATAAGCTCTCAAAAACACCTTCCTTACACTTGTGGGACCTCATTTTTTCATGATTTTTACAGTGTTTTATGCACATTGCACTTCAAAGCCTTCGAATGCGAGATAACAAGATAAACCTCAAAAATTGCCTCCCGTGCAGGTAAAATGCAACTTTTTGAAGGTAAATAAGCTCAACACAAACCCATCCAAAGCCACTTTTTACTGTAAATTACAGTGTTTTATGGACCTTCGAACATGCCAAAAAAAAGCCCGCACGGTCTGCAAATCAGCTTGGCCCCCCCCCCCCCCCCCCCCTTCCCTTTCGGTAATACTTCCAAGCGCTACAGCGCTTTCCGTCATCAACTCTGTGAGGGGCTTTCAAAAGGATCGTTCTGAGTGTAGAGGCCACACATGATGTCGACCTGGTTGGTATTTATTGTGTTGTGTCAAGGTCCCAGAGAGAAGGCACAAGCTGCCAAGCTGCTTAAGGATGTAATCCTTTCTCTATAGAGTTATAAACACCTCATCAGAGTCTCACAACACTTTGGATGGTGTGTGCAATACGCTTTGGCGGTGGCAAAAACCATTGACTCACAGTCATCCTCCGCATCCTCCTGTGGATCCAACGCGCAAAAGACGGTGCGACCAAGACACACTGGCCCCGCATCCCCGGTCCCACCCTTCTCAGTCTGTGGATTTATAGGTCTTCCCTCCAAATAGACGATAGATCGATCACCCAAAAAGGATGCCTTCGACTTCCGCAGAGGACGCAGAGGAAGCTAAGGAGCTTCGACTTCCGCAGACGGCGCGCCCTTCGCTCGACACCCAGGTTTCCCACCTTTTGGTCTCAAGTGCAGAGCGCCGCTCGGCGGACGTGGAACGTGTGGAGTTCACCAGCTGTTTGGGTATGAGGATGGAACATGATCTTTCCCGGTGGAAAATGTCATCCACTTCCGGGACAATTCCAGGGACACTTCGAATGATATGTCATGAAATGTCAATCTTTTTGCGGTTGGGTTAGGTTTTATGGCAGAAGGCCCTCTATTGAGGCTTTTGCATTGAGTCTCATGTGCATGGGTCAGAGCATGTCAAAACTGTTGGCATAATGCCATAATGCTGTAAGAGGGCATATAACATTGGAAGCCGCACTTTCAGATGCTGGGACGCTCACCCTGTTCATAGTGCCAGATTGAGTTCTCCGACTAGCTCAGAATTGAAGAGCGGAGTGTGGAGCTTATGCATAATTTGCACCAACCAAAAAGTGTTGAATGGAAGACTGGGCTCCCTGTGGTTCACAACCCTCT